CTAGTAGTAATAAGCAAGGGGGGAAACACAGGGGCGGGACACTTCCTATCCATTTTATCACCAGCATCAGCCCATTATGACAATTTATTTTGGAAACTAGATTCAGGAAATGCAACAAATGATTATTCCTCTAGAAATGGTTGGAAAATGAACTCATTTTTATTTTTTTATCCTATTAGTAAGAAAATAAAAGTACTGAAATTATTTCTGTATTCATTCAGATATTCCCTCGTAAAGTAAAAACTGCCATTCAAGGATTTTAATTATTATGAACTTAGTCCTTAAAGATTCTGCTCTAAATCAACTTAATTTAATAGCACAGCTTTAACTAACTGGCTTTTAGGAATCATGCAAAATTAATGACTTAATGCCCTTGGAACTTTGAAAATCTGATTTAGTATTTTTAAAAATGAGTAGTTTTCATATAAAATTATTACTGAAGCCATGCAATTACCAGTGGCTTATAAATTCTTTGTGATCACTACTCACTTGAAGAAATGATTTTACATGTTGTTGTGAACCCTCTAGCCAACTCACAACTGACCTTCCAGTGGGTTTTCAGAGGCAGTAAATCACACAGAAGGAGGCTGCCTTTCTCATGAGGGGCTCTTGGTTGGCAGAACAACTCTTTACCACTAAGCCACCAGGCTCAAAATACACATATATCAAACCCAAACCAAAATAAGTTTATAGACCCTTACACCAACAGAATAGAGAGAGATCAGTTGGCCTAGTGGACAGAGTGATGCTACCAAGCCAAAGGTGGGTGACTTTAAACCACGGCCCTCAGGCCTATTTTTAATTCGTTTTGGTCACCCATTCTTCTAGGTCGTATAGCACTGGTCTGTCCATTTGCTGTACAGAGGTAACTCGTGCTTGCTGTGAAGCTGAACACTGGTGACACTTATGTGTCAAACGCAATAAGGTTTACCCATGGTGGACAGTGTTTGGTGGAGCTCCCCGATTAAAACAAGCTTGAAAGCAGGAGTGACATCCACTTCCAAAATACCCTGCCTCTGGAAACCCTATGAACCTGGTGAAAGGATGAAAGTTATACAAGTGTTAGGTCTTTCGTTCATAGGGTCATGAGTTCATGAGTCGTTCATGAGTTGCCTACGACTTGATGGCATTTAACAACAACCACCCTTACACCAAGATTCATCAATGACCTTGTGTTATGCAGATGACACAGTCCTGCTTTCTTAAGCTGAGGAGGACATGAAGCACTTGCTACAGAAGGTCAAGGTCTGTAGCCTTCAATATGGATTGAAGCTCACCATCAAGAAAACAAAGATTCTCACCACTGGGCCAATGGGCAGCATTATGATAGATGGTGAAGAGATTGAGATTATCAACAGTTTTAATTTGCTTGGCTCCACAATCAAGACTCTCGGTACCAGCAGCCTGGAAATTAAGAAATGAATTGCATTGTGAAAGGCAGCTGTCCAGGACCTCTCCAGAGTACTGAAGAGCAATGGCGGCAGGCTGGAGACTAAGGTCCAAGACTAGTAAGACTAAGATCCAAGCCATAGTCTTCACAATTGCTTGCTATGCACCAGAGAGCTGGACAATGACTAGGGACGATGGAAAGAGAATTGATGCCTTTGAGCTGTGGTGCTGGAGAAGAGTGTTGAATATTCCAGGGACTGCCAGGAGAAAAAACAAGTTCATTCTAGAGTGGGTGAAGCCAGGCTGCTCCTTGGAGCCAAGGATTCTGAAACTTTGTCTGACAATTTGGCCATGGTGCAAGGAGGGACCAGTCCTTAGAGAGGGATGTCATGCTTGGAACGGTGGAGGAACGGAGAAAGAGAGGGAGACCATTGATGAGATGGATGATGTAATGACAGAGGTAATGGGGTTAGGTGTGTCAGAGACAATGAGATTGGCACAGGATAGAGCAAGGTTTAGGGCTGTTGTACACAGGGTCGCTATGAGTCACAAGTGACTGACGACACATAGCAACAACACTTACACCACCTATGTATGTGGAATTTTTTTTATTCCAGTAAAAAAAATTTTTTTAATGTCTCCGTAATGGATCAGATCATTTAAAGACTAATGTGCACCTGATCTAAGTCATTTGTGTGTGTCAAGGGTTTATTGTTCAAAAAAGTTTTCCCAACCATCAGCTTTGACTCTGTCCATGAGTAGGTGGGACCATACAAATAAGTGTTAATTCTATCCACAAGAGGAATGACTAGTCTTGCCATTCCACTAGGTTTAAATTGAGCAGTTTTAGTAGCAGAAATTGGGCATCTCAACACCACGTCTTTGAAGCCAGAGAGTCCTGCTCCAGTCAGACTAGGATCTGCAGAGCAGCTTCAGCAGAGAACTGGAGAATGAAATGACACAGCTGACTTGGGACTGTTGTCTCCTGGAACCAGAGACAAAGGCCTTCCCCTAAGCTTGCTGGAGGACTTAGGGAGGATGCTATAACTGGTGGGACTAAGGGAAGTTTGTAACAGCTGTAAGGCTGAAGGCCAAAGGTACTATGACCACACGTGAGATGCTGTCTGGACTGAGAGGTTGCATCCCACTGCCAATCTGAATTATAGATTGTTAACTTCACTATGAATATGGTTCTGTAGTCTGTATCATCACTGTGATGGACTTTGGCATAGTGGACCAGTAAGTTTGTTGTTGAAATTATATGTAGGTGGAGGAGCATGGGACACTAAGTCTTACCTTGGTCTCCTTCCTTATAGGAATCAGTTTTATACCCTGGATGTTGTTGAAGCCAACAGTCTAGCTAATAAGAAGTCAAACCCGACCATCCTCATGCTGCCTTTATTCTTTACATCATGGTCTTTTCAGGTATTTCCTATGCATCTGAAAGTTGGACAATGAATATGAATGGCAGAGTAAGAATCGATGGTTTTGAATTGTAGTACTGGAGAAGAGTACTGAATATCCCATGGACTGCTGAAAGAACAAACAAACTTATCTCGGAGGAAGTGCAACAGGGTGCTCCTTAGAGGTGAGGATCAGTTACTTTGTGCATCTTGTCAGGAGGAACCAATCCTTGGAAATGGACATCATATTGGGAAGAGTAAAGGGTCAGAGAAAGAGAATATGACTCCCCATAAGATGAATTGACACAGTGACTCTAAAAAGGAACTCCAGGATATCAGAGATCATGAGGATGGCTCAGGACAAGGAAAAGTTTCAATCTGTTTTTCTCAGGATCACTAAGACTCACAGGTGACTTAACGGTATCTAATAACAACAATGGGTTTGGATTTGACGTTTAAAACACTCCATGGATTCTAGATCCCTAGTTCTGTACTTCTTCGGGTCTCCTCTGTTTCAGGAAGCTGTGAAAACTAAAGCTGTATTGCTTTATACTCTTGCTAGTTCATTTAAACATTTTACTTTCTTTTAATGCAATATTTAAAAATATTTCCTAGTTAATAGTTTCTGTACTTCACAACACAATACAGATCTATATAATCAAAGATTATCAATGATAACACATAAGAACAACCATCGTGTGCAAATATTATTTTATTGCTTAATCATTTTGACATTTCACACAATTCTGGACAGACTTTGAGAAAATATACTGGGAGTGTAAAAGAGATGGCAAAACCGATGAAAATGTTCAAGTGTTTGACATAAGGTAGTAAGAGGCACCATTGCCACCACAACCCCCAGAAATTTGTACACTTCATATAAAAAGTAAAAATAGTTCATTGGCATTTAACTAGCATTCTCTGTAACTGATGAACCACAATAAAACAGAATAATTCTAGAATCTTCACTAGTAGATTGAGCAGGTTAAGTTTCTTTAAAAAAAAAAATCCACAAACAACTATCAAAAACCCCTACACACAACCCCACAAAAAGTTTGCATATTCTGTGGTCTTGAATTTTGTTTCTATCTTATTTTTTCAAAAAAAGTGAGTCAATATTTGCAAATTAAATTAAATTACTTTTTCACTGTAATAATTCACTTTTTCAATCAAAAGAATTAACTGAAGCCAACATTAACCCAGTAAAAATTGCGCGTGCAATTTAAAAAGCTACTCTTATGCGAAGGTAACTTCTTAAAAGTTAATTATTCTTTAAAAGGTCAGACCCAAGTTTTAACAGGCATAACTGGAAAAACTGACAAAAGAGTTTGATAAAATAGCAGTAATTTGAAGTATTTTTAAAGCTGGGAGGTGTATACATAATCTCCATAAATTGCACATAAACATTAGCTTTTCCTGACTTGTTAAAACTCTAGATCAACACTTGACAAACTTTAGGTCTATTACGACAAAAATGCACACTGAGAAATATGTTTATGTACTTGAGGACATTTGGGGAAAAAATTTCAAAACCTGAATGTGTTTTAAGCTCAACCATTTAGAAGACCTCAATTATCAAACTACTTAAAAACACACAATAGGAGATAAATAGGAATTTATTAAACTCATTGTCTCTGGACATAAAAAAATTAAATATTAAGGCATCTTTATTCCATCATGACATACGAAGCAAAGAGAAGGGTTTCAAATGAGTTACCACTTCTACTTAAAATGTTTCCTAATGCTTTTACCAGATTTTTTTCATATCTTCCTATTCCACATACCACTGAAAGCTTTCATGATTAAACATCTTTATCCAAAGAGAAAAATATAAACAAACTTTCATTTACTCAAGAGAAGCCACTCACCCTTCAAAAATATAACTTAATAAAGCGCTAAAAAAAATTGTGAAGTTCAGTAGCTGGTATTTCAATTTCTTCAAAGTAACTTACACCTTAGTAATTAAGAGAAAGAAGAGACAAAGATATTATTCAAGCAGAGATTCCTATTAATGTGAATCATGCTGGCAAACACTAGATCACTCAGTATTTTGCTCCACTGGGATGAAGGTTTGAAGAGGGCTTCATACTCTATTAGCTCATCCACTAGAATAAGGTCATACAAATTAACACTGATTATTTGCTCTTTCTCATATTGGTCCATTTACAATGCTTGATAGACTTTGTAAAGTATCCTAAACAGTTAACATTTCATCTTGTATTAAGGCAAGTTATATTCGCAATGGAAATTTAATACAGCCATGTTTCTTCATGAATTTTTACCTTACTTTTTAGTACAAGAAGCTTACAAAAATGTTTTATAAAAAGCTACCTCAATACTAGAAAAAAAGTAATGAAAAGATTTTGAAACCCATTTACTTTTTTTGGAAGTATGTCTCTCCTTGTCTCAACTTCCAAGCATTATTCATCATCTTTAGAACCAGTTTTGCTTAACTATTAAAAAAAAAGAAAAAGAAAAAAATTACCAAACAAGGTCAAGTTTCAACTATCATTCTATTAACCATCTATAGCATTTACCAAGGAGTTTGGTTGGTGTAACAGAACTTAATTTCAACCAAAACAGTTGGTGGGTGGTTCAAACATAATCCGTGGCCCTGCGGAAGATCTGGCAATCTGCTTCTGGTGAAATTACAGCCAAGGAAATCCTACAAAACAGGTCTGCTCTATCACTATGGTTGCTGAGTTAGAATACCAATAACAACCATGAAGATTTTTATCACATGTAGCTACTTTTCAACTACAAGTTCAACTATTTCAAACAGGATTCTTTTAAAAACATGACCTTAGCACATCAAAAAACTTCTCCAACAGGGTGAAAAGGAAACCCACTAAGAAAAAATATCTAGCAATCATATACTTGATAAGGGACTAATAGTTAAAATTCATAGACTTCTCTAGCACATCAACAAGAAAAACGTAAATAACTCAATCGCAAAATGGGCACAGGATGTGAATATACTTCACCAAAGAAGACATTCAGATGGAAAACAAACAGATGAAGAAATGTTCAAACTCTCTAGATATAAGAGAAAGGCAAATCAAAACAACTATGAGATAGCATCTCACCCCTGAAACAATAGCAAAGTTCAACAGTTGAAGCAAACAACAAATGCTAGTGAGGTAGTGGAGAGACTGGAACTCTTATTCACTGCTGGTGGGAATGTAAAATGGTACAGTCACAATGTAAGGCAGTCTGGTGCTTTCTCAAAAAGTTGGAAATAGAAATAACATTCGACCCAGCAATTCCACTACTGTGAATATACCCTAAAGAAACCAGAGACATGATTCAAACAGATGTATGACCCCTTGTTAATGCTGTGTTATTAACAACAGCAAAGCGATGAAAGCAACCTGAGTGTTCAGCAACAAATGAATGGATAGAAAAATCATGGTACAGTCACACAGTGGAGTATTATGTAGCATTGAAAAACAATGAACTTGTAAAACATTACACAATAGGGAGAAGCCTGAGGATATTATGCTGAGTGAAATACCTCAATCACAAAAGGACAAACACAGTATAACACCACTGTTATAAAAGAAGACAGACATGGAGGCAGGGAGAATGGGAAAAGAGTGGATAGATAATGAACACAATACTAGTACAGATGTGGGGAAGAGCTGTATGACAACAATCTGGAACAAGGTGTGCACTGTGGGACAAGGTGAGGGAGGGAAGAAAATGTTCAACAATGAAAAAAAGAATAAATATTTTTTTAAAAATATGACTTCAAGGGAGCTCTGGTGGCCTAGTGGCAAGAAGCTACACTGCAATCCCAGAGACACATGGTTCAAATCCACTAGATGCTCTGCTGGAAAAGGAGGGACAATCTCCTCCTGTACCAGTCAGATCTGATTTGACGGTACACACAAAAAATAATAAAATAAAAATGAAAAAAAAAAGAAATCTTAAAAAAAAATTACTTCAGCAGAGAGAGAAAATCCCTTCCAAGCTTTAAATAAATAAATTGGAATTAGGTGTGCCAAGACTAAACAAATAGAAGCTTGCATTTACAAAACAATGACAACAAATTCTTAAAATAAAATTTTATACATGCAATGATCTTAAATCACAACTCTTCCGATTAAAAATCTAGAAAGAGTTGACGTATTTTTAAGGTGGTCATGAGCTGGTTGGAAGGTAGAGAAAAATTTCCTAAGAATGTAAAGGCAGTTCTTACTAGAATAAAGACCTAACTTTCCACTGTAACTAACAACTAAGAATTCTAGGCAATGTGGGAAGCAATGAGAAGCAGAAACTGCTAAGAGTAACAAAGTAAGGAGCATAGTGGTCCTCACATTTTGGTCTTACTAAAAATCCAAACCCCCTGCCACAGGGTTGATCCTGACTAATAACGACCCTACAGGATACAGCGGAACTGTCCCACAGGGTTTCCAAGGCTATGGAATCTTTACAAAAGCAGTTTACCAAAATCTTTCTCCTAAGCAGCAGCCAGGTTCCCATCATCAATCTTTTTGGTAATACTTTCACCACTGTGCCTCCAGGGCATCCCAGGGGCCTTCATACCCTTAGAAAACTGAGGCTTCTCGGAGGAGACCTTTTACTCATGTAAGTTCTGATTAGTGCATTTGAAATTAAGTAGTAAGAAATTAATTTCAAAATACTGATAAACCCATTATAGCTAGATCATTTTAAAATGAACAGTAACTACATTATCTGAAACAATCAAAAAGTTAAGCATGAGGCAGAAATTGCATAGAAGAATGAGGAAATATGGTGGAGCTGACTTTTAATTTTAGGAATAAGCTGCTGGCAAATTTGTGTGTGTGTGTGTCTATATTTGTAACTCCCTTAAATCTTCCCCTTTAACTACTCTTAGATCATATTAATCTCATAGTGGTTTTGGCACTAACTGGAATATAAAACTTAACTAAGTGAGGTTCTGCTGAGACAACGAACTGCACTAAGAATTAGTTTCACCTATTTCAAACAAATTAATGACGCTATAAAAACATGTGAAGATACCGAAAAAATCCAAAAGAGACACTAAATAATGATAAACTACCCAAAAGATATCTTGCTTGCAATGATGGGCAATTAGACCTAGAATGTGCCCTTTTATAAAACCAAATCAAAACAAAACATTTAAAATAAGACTCCTTTCTATACATAATTTCCCATATTGTTACTGATTAGGTATGTTGAACCATATTCCTTGACGTGAATTTACATAAATGTTATTTTTATGTAGTTATACACTAGCTATACACATTTCATGCTATTTTTTAAAATTGAGAGCCTAGTTAAGAAAATAGGAAGACTATTTTAAAAATACTTACATGCTAAATGTAAAGAAGGAATATTCCAGTAAAATCCAGAGGTTGTGAAGGAGAAAAAAAAGGAAAGATATAAATTGCATTATTTGATAGTAATAACTATAATGATTTTTTGAAGACAAGAAAAGAAATGTAAATCTCATATACCTTAACAACGTCTACCCAGTTCCATCCTCGAGGAAGTTCTCCTTTGTGATCTAGAAGATTAAAAGAAATAGTAACTTGCTTTCTATAACCAATGAACTAGATTTAAGTAAGTTAATAATATTTTAATAAATAGATTTCTAGCAGAAGTGGCATCCACTTCCTAAACCACATGCCTCTGCAAACTCTTAAGAACTTAGTGAAATGACAACAGTTATGGAAAGGCATTAGGTCTTTTGTTCATAGATTCGCTATGAGTTGCGCTCAACTTGATGGCAATCAACAATATTTACTATTCTAGACAAGAGATAAAAAATTAAAATTATGCTAGAAAAGGGAGCTCTAGTGGCCTAGTGGTAAGGAGCTTTGCTGCCATCCAAAAGGCATATGGTTTAAATCTCTCAGGTGCTCCAAAGAAGAAAGTTGGGTAATCTCACATTCAATTCAATTTACTGCCTCTGTAAACCCACTGGAAGGTCAGCTTTGAGTCAGTTTTAACGGAAACTATACTGTTTCAACTGAAAGTATACAACAATGCTGGAAAAATATTTTATCATCATCATCATGAAATGAAAGTACTATTCTTCTATTGGCAATGTATTTCATTTTACATTTACCCTCTTTTCATTCAAGACAACATCTGATTGTCAAGAAAAAAAATGCAGAGGTGGGTTGGCAATGTCTGGGTAGAGAAAGTAATTGATTTATTAGTTGCACATATTTATATAATTTTGCTGCTTTATAAAGTCATTGTTACATAATTATTTATTAAGACACTGTCTATTTGCTATTTAATGAGTTATTGGTTCACACTAAGAAATTAGTCTCAAGACAGGAGGTCTTATAAACAAAAGTTTGACTTCAAGACAATGGGGAGCTAAATTATTAATTATGCTCTGTCAAATATTCATTGTTTAGCATTTTTTACTGATGTTGTTGCTAGGTGTTATCCAGTGAGAACTGACTCATAGCTGACCCTACAATAGGTTTTCAGAGGCTATAAATTGCACAAGAGGAGACTGCCCATCTTGCTTCTTTGGCACATTTGAATGTAACTGAGAGGCCCTTGAAAGGAGTCCTATCTTTGGTGCTGAATGAGAAATGCTGGCATTGATGCAAGGCCTGGACAAGCATTATTAAGAGGAGCTCTCCCTCGGTAGGGTCACCTGACCCCGCAGGTCTCCAAGTCTGAACTCACCCAGGATGAACACCCAGGTGGGCTGCAATCATCAAGCACCACCAGCCAGAAGACAAAGGAAATCAGGCAACAAGAGTGATACAGAACAATGGAACAGTTTCTTTAGCCCTAACCCAGATTAAGGGGTGACTTTCTTGTCCCCACCCCTGCTGGTACCAGAAGCACATTCTCTAATATTCTATAGTCTATTCCAATCTAAAGAATAATTTAATATATAACCACAATTTTGAGATTGTTCACAGTTTTGGTTTGCTTGGCTCCACAGTCAACACTCTTGGTACCACAGCCAGGAAATTAAAAGATGTATTATGTTGGGAAAGTCTGCAGTTAGAAATCTCTCTAAAGTACTCAAGTGCAATGATGTCAGTCTGGAGACTAAGGTGCGCCTGCATGCCATGGTCTTTGCAATCACTTGCTATGCATCAGAGAGCTGGACAATGACTAGGGATGATAGAAGGAGAGTGGATGCCTTTGAGCTGTGGTGGTGGAGAAGAGTATTGAATGTACCATGGACTGCCAAGGAAACAAACAGATTCATCCTGGAGAGGGTTAAACCAAGCAGCTCCTTGGAGGCAAGGATTCTGAAGCTTCGTCTGACATCCTTTGGACATGTTGCAAAGAGGGACCTATCCTTGGAGAGGGACATCATCCTTGGGAGAGTGGAGGGACAGTGCAGGAGAGGAAGACCCTCGATGAAATGGATTCAGTGACTAGGGTAATGGGGGTGGGTATGTCAGAGATGGCGAGATTGGCACAGGATAGGGGAGAGTTTAGGGCTGTAGTACATAGGGTCGCTATGAATCACAGGCGACTCGATGGCACATAACAACAAATCATAATTTTAAATCCTTCAATTCAAAATGGTTTCATTTTGTGCTTCCTGTATGTCTGATGTATGTTTATTTCCCCTATGATTTTTATTTAATGTTCAACTTTCATATATGCATGTGAAGCAACTGAAAATACTATGCACCTTAAGTTTTTAGATTGACGTTCAAGTTCTTTAGTACTCCGAAGAGGGCTCTGATAGCAGACTTGCCTACTGAAGCGATGAAGGAGCAAAAAATATTTTCAAAATACATCTGACTCAAGATATTGTTTGACCCAAATGTTTCAAGAATAGATAATAAACCTTTTAAATCAAAATGCATTTAATAAATACTGTATAAAACCATTATTGTAGAATGAGTATGAGGATCAGAGGTGGGTGGATATAGAAGGGGGAGGATGCTGGGAGTAGGATGTTAATAATAGGGTTGCACAATTTGATGGGAGGATGGCGTGAAGGAAATGGGAAGAATCTTTTGTGAAAGACAATGTACTCAAACTTTGCAAATAAATCAGAATAAAACAAAAAAACCCACAATATAGGCGAACATTTAAATTTAAAAAAATATTTTTAATAAGCACCTGGTTAACAGAACTGTTCTATAGAGTTTTCTAGCCCATCATTTTTGATACTAGATTGCCAGGTCTTTTTCCTGTGGACTTGCATGACAGTGCTGGATTCAGAGCCAAGCACTGAACAACTGTGTCATCAGGGCTTCTAATAGGCATCTTTACCATATATATTGCACTCTATTCATTTACGTTGTTAAAAAATAAAAATACATACCTGTTTTATCTGCCAGTTTACGTTTCTGGGCTTTGGAAAGTTGTTCTTTTTTTTCTTTTTTCTTATTTGGTGGGGCTGTATTAGGAGTTTCAACTGAGATAATATTGCTTATGGATATCTAGGAAGAAAAAATTTCTTAAACTCAGACACTTTAATTACTGAAATACATTAAATATAGCTACTTCTCAAAATAGACAGGATATTTTTAGATTCATGAAGTACAGGAATCCTTTGTTACTGTTATTACAACTCAGGTATTAAATCAGGCGACATTAAGCAAATTACTAGTTTTACTTAAAGTTTACAATGAAGGATAATACAACTACAACTGTTATAAGAGAGGATGAGAGACACCCAAGCGTTGAGGACTCTCCTTCATAGGGTCACTATGTGTCGCCTGCAACTTGATGGCACTTAACAACAATAACATCAACATAAAGAGAGAGATCAGCTGGCCCGGTAGACAGAAAGCGATGGACAGAAAGCGATGGTACCAAGCTGAAGGTGGGTGACTTTTAATCTGCGGCCCTCAGGCCTGTCTTTGTTTTTGTTCAGACATTGTATTTGTATAGCCCTGGTGTACAAGTTGCCGTACAGCGGTCACTTGTGGTTGCTGTGAGGCTGAACACTATGTCACTGATGTGTGTCAAATGCGTTAATGGCTGGTTACCCAATTTGAACAGAGAGTGGGGTGGAGCTCCCCGATTAAAACAAGCTTGGAAGCAGGAGTGGCATCCACTTCCGTAATAGCTTAACTCCGGAAACCCTATGAAGCTGGAGAAAGGATGAGAGACACCCAAGCATTGAGGACATTCCTTCATAGGGTCGCTATGTGACTCCACAGCACTTAACAACAACAAAAAGCAGCCTCTTGGATGAAAGAGCTCTTACTAGCATTACATCGAGGTCTTGAAGTTCCAAAGTAGTTTTACAATTCAGTTAATTTTCTATAATTTGGAAAGTGATAAGAGGTACATTGCAAAGAGGACTAGAAGGAGGGAGGGGAAGTAACTGTGCAATAATAAATGAATATTAAAAAGAAATGAGTAAACTGGGGGGGAAGTACAACAATGAATGGATGAATGAATGAATGAAAATATAACTTTTCTGTGAACTTTCATTAAAACCACAACTAAAAGAAAAAAAATTTTATTTAAAAAAGTATAATTTGGAAATCTTCACCAATATTTTGCTTACATATTCACATTAACTGTTGTTGTTGTTATATGCTGTTGAGTAGCCTGCAACTCGTAGCGAACCTAAGTACAACAGCCCTAAACTCTGCTTTATCCTGGGCCAATCTCAATGTCTCTGACATACCTGCCCCCATTACCCCAGTCACTGAATCAATCCAGGTCATAAAGGGTCTTCCTCTACTGCACTGTCTCTCCGCCTTCCCAAGCATGACGTCCCTCTCCAAGGACTGGTCTCCTTGCAACAAGTCCAAAGTATGTCAGACGAAGCTTCAGAATCCTTACCTCCAAGGAGCAGCCTGGCTTCACCCTCTCCAGGACAAATCTATTTGTTTTCTTAGCAGTCCATGATATATTCAATACTATTCTCCAACACCACAGCTCAAAGGCATCAATTCTCCTTCTATCATCCCTAGTCATTGTCCAGCTCTCTCTCAGGCATAGCAAGTGATTACAATGACCATGACCTGTATCAAGCGCACCTTAATCTCCTGACTGACATTGTTGCTCTTCAGTACATTGGAGAGGTTTCTGACAGCAGATTTCACCAACGCAATACGTCTTAATTTCCTGCCTGCTGGTGCCAAGAGAGTTGATTGTGGAGCCAAGCAAACTAAAGCTGTTTACAATCTCAATCTCTTCACCACACATCACCACAATGCTGCCAATTGGCTCAGTGGTGAGAATCTTTGTTTTCTCGATGTTGAGCCTCAATCCATATTGAAGGCTGCAGTCCTTGACCCTCTGCAGCAAGTGCTTCAGGTCCTTCTCAGTTTCAGCAAGCAGGGTTGTGTCATCTGTATAACGCAGAATGTTGATACACCTTTCTCCAATCCTGATGCCACATTTCTCCTCATAGAGCCCAGCCTCACAGATAATCTGTTCTGCATATAGACTGAAAAGGTATGGAAATAGGACTCGTCCCTGGTATACACCCTTCCCAGTTTTGAACCATGCAGTGTTTCCTTGCTCTGTTCTGACAACTGCCTCCTGGTCTAAGTATAGGTTTCACAGAATCAAGTGTTCTGGGATTCCCATTCTTCTCAGAGTCAGCCACAGTTTGTTGTGATCCACACAGTCAAATGCCTTTGCACAGTCAATGAAACACAGACATTCCTCTGGTCCTCTCTGCTTTTTGCCAAGATACATCTGGCATTAGCTACAATACCCCTAGTGCCATGGCCTCTTCTAAATCCAACCTGCACTTCAGGCAGTTCTCTGTTGATGTGCTGTTCCAGTCGTTTATGGATAATCTTCAGCAGAATCTTGCTTGCATGTGATATCAATGACACTGTTTGATAATTTCCACACTCTGTCGGATCACCTTTCTTTGGAATGTGAACAAATAAACTCTTCACTTCTCCCTAGCTGCTTTTAGAGTTCTTTGTCTTTGATTCTGGCAAATCTGACTATGATAGGCCTCAGTGTTTTTCTTTTGGGGGTCTATTCTATATAGAGTTTGTTCAGATTCTTTTTTTTATATTCTCATTCTTCATCATTCCTGAAAAAATTTCTTTTAGTAACTCTTCTACAACTTTCTCAGTGCCTTTATTCACTTCTTCTTGTTCTGGGTTTCCAATTATGTGCATGTTTCTTCTCTTGATGGTGTCCCACATTATTCTTAAGCTTCATTTTCGTTCCTTTTTGATTCTGCTTTTTGTTCTAGCAGATCAGTGCTGAGAGCTCTCCTATTTCACTGATTCTCTGCTCCATCTTTTCAATTCTGCTTATCTTCCCTTCCAATATGTTGACTGCTTCTGAGGCAATGATCTTAATATTCTGGATACACTAATATTCTTAATATTCTAGCGTTTTTAATAGTCCACTTGTTTTATCTGTATTTTCTTGAACTGCTTTTTAAAGTTCCTCTTGGCATTTGCTTGTAGAGTCCTGTAATTCTTCCAGTTTTTTCTTTCACCAACTACAAATATTCAACCATTGTTCTTTTAATTCTGTATCAGAAAGTTACATCAGATTGCTTGGGTTTAGGAAATCCATTGATTCTGTGTTTTCATCACTTTTAGGGGTGAAATCTTGCTTTGGTTTTGTGTAAACTGTGAGGCTGAAAACAAAGAGTCCCAGAGGAATGTCCATCTGTGATTCACTGACTATCTAAAAGTGTATGACTTAACAACAAACTGTGGCTAACCTTGAGGAGAATGGGAATCGCAGAATACTTAATTGTGCTCATGTGAAACTTATACTTGGAATAGGAAGCAGCTGTCAGAACAGAGCAAGGAAACTGCATGGTTCAAAATCAGGAAAGAGTATATCAGAGATGTGTTCTGTCTCCATAATTTTTCAATTTATATGCAGAACAGATCATTCAGGAGTCTGGGCTTTATGAGGCGGAATGTGGCATCAGGACTGGAGGAAAACTCATCAACAACCTGCAATAATAGGCAGATGACACAGTCTTCTTGCAGAAATAGAGGAGATAAACAGCTTGCTACAAAGTCAAGAAGTGTAGTCTTCAATATGGATTGAAGCTCAACATCAAGAAGACAAAGATTCTCACTACCGGGCCAATTGGCAGCACCATGTTGGAGAAGAAATTGAAGTTGTTAACGATTTCAGCTTGCATGGCTCCACAATCAACACTCTTGGTACCAGCAGTCAGGAAATCAAAAGATGAATTACACTAGGGAAATGTGCTGTCAGGGACCACTCCAGAATACTGAGAAGCAACAATGTCAGTCTAGAGACTAAAATCCCCACTGGAAGCAGAAGTGGCATCCACTTCCTAAACAACATGCCTCTGGAAACTCCATGAACTTTGGTAAATGTCGATAGTTATAAAAAGGCTTCAGGCCTTTTGTTTATAGGGTTGCTATGAGTTCTGTTCAACTCGAAGGCAATCAGCAACAACGATAATCTAGACTATGATCTTCACATTTACTTGCTTTGCATCAGAGAGCTGGACAAAGACTAAAGATAACAGAGAAGAATCGATGCCTTTGTGTTGTGGTGCTAGAGAAGAGAAGAGTTTTGAATATACCATGCACTGACAAGAGAAGAAACAGGTCAGTCTAGGAGAGGGTGAAATCAAGTGTCTACTTGGAAGGATTATGAAGCTCTAGCTCACATACTTTGGGCATGTGTCCAGGAGGGAACAATCTTTGGAAAAGATATGTTTGGAAGGGTGGAGAGACAGTGCAGAAGGAGAAGACTCTGATGAGATGGACTGATACAGTAACTAGAGCAATGGGGGTAGGTGTGTCAGAGTCAGTGACACTGGGTAGGCTTCAGGGCTATTGTACATAGGATTGTTATGAGTCACAGGTGACTTAATGGCACACAATTGACTGGGAGGTAGTCTATTTCTTCCGTGTCATTACTGTGATAGGGTTTGTGTTTTTTCCTTGCCTGGGCCTCCGAAAGGTCCTTGGTCTGACTTCCTCGGCAGAGAAGCTCAGTATTCCAGAACAGTGCTCTCAGGCCCCTGGACTTACAAAAGATTTGCTTCAGTTGGGGAGTTAAGCCCTCCAGTAGGGTGGGTGAGGGCAAATCACCCTGTCTGTGGTCTTTCCTCTCCAGCCCAGTTTTCTGGATCTGGGGGAGCAACTGCGTCTATTCCCTCTTCTCTAGTCTAGCAGTTATGTTCTCTGCGATGGGTCTTGTTGTTTTCAGATTTCACCCTTCTCTCCTGAAGTCTATTCCCTCCTTGCCAAGAAATCTGGAGGACAGCCAGCTGGCTAACTAACTGGAAGAGATCGATATTTGTTCCCATTCCAAAGAAAGGTGACCCAACAGAGTGTAGAAATTATAGAACAATATCATTGATACCACATGCAAGCAAGATACTGCTGAAAATTATCCAAGAATGTTTGGAACAATATGTCAACAGAGAACTGCCAGATGTGCAGGCTGGATTTAGAAGAGGTCGTGGTACTAGGGATATTATAGCTAATGTAAGATGGATCTTGGCAGAAAGCAGAGAATACCAGAAGAATGTATATCTGTACTTCATAGACTATGCAAAGGCTTTTGACTGTGTGGATCACAACAAGCTATGGCTGACGCTAAGAAGAATGGGAATCCCAGAACATTTGATTGTGCTAATGCAAAACCTATACTTGAACCAAGAGGCAGTCGTCAGAACAGAGCAGGGAGACACTGGATGGTTCAAAATCAGGAAAGGGGTCTGTCAGGGATGTATTTTGTCTCCATGCCTTTTCAATCTGTATGCAGAACAGATCATCTGAGACACTGGGCTGTACGAGGAGGAATGTGGCATCAGGATTGGTGGAAGAATCATCAACAACCTGCATTATGCAGATGACACAACCCTGCTTGCTGAAACTGAGGAGGACCTGAAGCATTTGCTGCAGAAGGTCAAGGGCTGCAGTCTTCAATATGGATTGAAGCTCAATATCAAGAAAACAAAGATTCTCACCACTGGGCCAATTGGCAGCATCAGTATGGACGGTGAAGAGATTGAGATAGTTAACAGTTTTAGTTTACTTGGTTCCACAGTCAACACTCTTGGTAACAGCAGCCAGGAAATCAGGAGACGAATTGCTATGGGAAAGTCAGATGTGAGGGACCTCTCAAGAGTACTGAAGAGTAATAACATCAGGCTGGAGACTAAGTTGTGCCTGATCCAGGCGATAGTCTTTGCAATTACGTGCTATGCATTGGAGAGTTGGACAGTGACTAGGGATGACAGAAAGAGAATTGATGCCTTTGAGTTGTGGTGCTGGAGAAGAGTGTTGAATATACCATGGACTGCTAGAAGACCAAACAGGTTTGTCCTGGAGAGGGTGAAGCCAGAATGTTCCCTGGAGTCAAGGATTCTAAAGCTTTGTCTGACATACTTTGGGCATGCTGCAAGGAGGGACTGGTCCTTGAAGAGGGACATCATGTTTGGGAGAGTGGAGGGGCAGTGCAGGAGAGGAAGACCCACGATGAGATGGATCGATTCTGTGAGTGGAGTGCTGGGAATGAATGTGTTTAAGACAGCAAGGTTGGCACAGGATAGAACGGCGTTTAGGGCTCTTGTACATAAGGTCGCTATGAGTTGCAAACGACTCAATGGCACAGAACAACAACAATTGAGATTTTAACAAAAGTTTATAGAGAACTTGGATTTCCATTCATTTATTGTTGCACATTTTCCTCCCTACCCATCCAAGTTCGCTTTTTTTTTAAAAGAAATTCTTTCATTGGTGCACAATTTTTGTCGCCACACCCTGCCCCCCAGTCCACTTTTTTATGCAGCTCTTATTCTGGACGGTTGTCATGCAAATAATACCTAATCATATATTCCTTTCAACCAGTTCTTTCCCTTGTCTGTTGCAATGCAGTGTACATTATTTATCCTCTCTTTTCTTAGTTTCCCCAAACCTCCATGTCAGTCATGTTTTATAACAGTATTTGTCCTTTTGTGACTGAGATCTTTCACTCAGCATAATCTCCTCTGGGTCTTCCATTTTGTAGAGTATTTTATGAGTTCTCTGTTTTTCAGTGCTGCATAGTATTCCATTGTGCAAATATACCACATTTTCTCTATCCATTTGTTTGTTGATAGGCACTTGGGTTGTTTCCTTCTCTTTGCTATTGTGCACAATACAGCACAATGGCCTTTTTAACCATTCTTCTTTTAATTTTTCATTCCCACCATACTATATCATGTGACTGTCTGATTCAAAGTGGCCAATGTCAGTTCATTTCAGCTTACTAATGCCTAGAATATCTTTATACTTTCCTTTTCATTTTTGACAACTTCTAATTTTCCCACATTCATTATTCATACATTCCATTTACCAATTTTTTTTAATGGATGTTTTCAACTGTTTCTCCTCATTTTGAGCATCTTTCGCTCTCAGGGCTCTATCTCTATCTTGTATTATATTCAATAGCATTTCACTGTTTGTTGATAGGATTTTCAAAGGCTGGTTATTTTAGAAGTGAACGGCCAACTCTTCTTCCCAGTCTGTCTCAATCTGATAGATCCCCACTATCTTATTACAGTAACTGACAGGGAAGTACTGTATTCATAAGAGGAAACAATGAACAACAAAACATATACATATATAAACTATAAAGTAAGTAGCACCAAGCAAGCCACAACAAAACATATACATATATAAACTATAAAAGTAGCACCAAGCAAGCCATTTTTCCAGCACAACAAACTTGTAGATAAATACTACACCCTAATAAGAAACTATATATAAAAAAATCCAAAAACAACTAAGTGCGCAGATATCAAGCAGAGCCTGCCTGAGACTATCAACTTCTCCCATCATTCTGGCTGGCTGGATGCTCCAGATCTGAAGATGGTTCTGGCTGCCCTTGGGAACACCCTGCCAGAAGGTAAGGCATGGCTGAGAGCAACTGGTATGCCATTTTCAGCCCTGAAGCAGCCTTGGAAAGTTAGACAATATTATTATCTCCATTTTTCAATTTACAGATGAGGAAACAGGGCAAATGGAGACTAAAGAGTTTGCCCAATGTCACACAATTAAGTGGTGGAATGGGATTTGAACCTAGTTAATCAGACATAAAGTTAAAAATCTTAACTATGGCCCTCTACTCCTCCTTTAGCTGCCTCTTTTTCTGTGTCCTCTGTTTTTGTATTGTTAGAAACAGGGAAGCCATGGCCAGCTGTCAAAAGCTTACAGTTGGGTTCATAAGAAAAGCTAAACTAACACTGTGAGAAATTGCTTTTAGATATGTTTAAGGTCATAAAAGCTGATTATTCTCTATAACTATCCTAGAAGTACAACAATTATTATCTTTTCATTATTATCCATTTTTTCTATTCAATAAAGATTCCTGAAGCCAATTCTTTAAAATTAAAGTGTTTCAAGATAATTTACAATGAGATAAACCTAACAGAGAAAACAATTTCAAGGCTACTATAGAATAACCCAAGAAATCTTCAACTTTCTAAGCTTTATGAGGAGATCAAACATATTTTAAAAATACTAGGTTTTATAAGATCCCAGTTTTGATAGACTCATAAATGTCCAGTAAATATAATTTCCTAAAGTTTATTTTTCTAATTTAATTAAAATGCAAGTTATATTAAATAAGACACAAAATCCCTTTGTAATTTTAAAACTTAGTAACTAGTACAAATTAATTTAGCAGCAAATAAAAAAATTCCTGGCAAAAAATACATACTCACTGTAGAATTAATAGGATTGTGATTCTCCATAAACTGCTCTTTATTATCCTTGGCGTATTCAAATAATGTATAGGTCATAGCGGTTCCAAGATTAACTTCAACTGCTTCCTGTAATTTGGCTAATATACTCTGCTTTACAGCTGATGATCTATATTGTACAAAAAACAGTTAAGAAATAAGTAAAATGCAGAGTAAAATAAAAGCAAAATGAAACAATAAAAATTAAATACTACTCACATGGTGTTGTTAAAAAAAGCATTCATAGATATTATTGGAGGTGTCTGCGGATATGTTTCTGTCCAGGAAATCTCTATTAAGAAGGCTTTGGGATCACCATTTTCACCTATCTGAAAAAACCCCCAAACAAACCCAAAATGGAAAATTTTAATCTATAAAAAGTGATATAAAGACAGCTTAATTATGATCTTTGAAAAATATCAATTCCTTATAATGCTTAATATCAGATCACAATTGCTCGATTCTGAAATGTTTAGGGGTACAGGCTAACACTGAATGAATAGGAGGAGGTGGGAGGAGTATAAAGGCACTTTTATAACTGGGAGAATAAGAAAAGGATAGACAAAAATAGTAAACACAAGATTGGAAATCTTAAGCATCTTTTTCAGATAAGGGTCCTAAGAGTTAATTGTTGTTGTTAATATCATCTTTAACATGGGCCATTAAATTCCTTGACTGTTACATCTATAGAGATGCTTTAAAGATGATTAAATTTTCCTATGGTTAATCCATAAGATTAGCAGCAGGAGCTATGATGGCATACTCTAGCATGTTGCTATGCTAACCAATTAGGCCAAGTGTCTTTGGGTGGCATCTATGAGTAGCTTGAACAGAGAAAAAGGGACTATTTTATTCAGATTTGTCGTTATATGCCATTGAGTCACTCGTGACTCATAGTGACTCTATGTACAGTATCTGTGAAACATGCCCTATCCTCCCAAAGGAGAGTCACTTTGAGTCAGAATCAACTTGATGGCAGTGAAGTTTTGAGTTTTAATCTATAACAAATATTAAGGATAAACAAATTCATATTCAGTAAAAGCTGTGAGAACTTGGGACCAAATTATTTAGAAAGATTTGACCAAGAGAAGTTATCATGAAGGTAACATTTTATAATTCTGTGAAAATAAAAATACATCTTGCCATATTTATCAACCTTTGGTTTTTTTCTAGATAAGTAATAGTTGCTCCTGTTCATGTCATATCTTACCCTATATTGAAATGAAACTGGACTTAATTCCCGGAAACTTTCATCTCCTTCATAAATAGAACGTAAAGCTTCTAGTTCCATCTGAAAGAAAAGAATTAAATAAATGAGTTCAAATTAGTGGTACTCAGATTAGAAATGAAGAGTCTTCAGTTTCTGATTCAAACCCAGTTAACTATGTAAAACTATGTAAAACACTACATGACTTGTAGTGTTTATATGTGTAAATATTACCACACTGTAATACTACTTCTTGTTGTCATGTGCCATCGAGTCGCTTGCGACTCAAAGCAACCCTATGTTCAAGAGCTCTAAATGCTGTTCCATCCTGTGCCAACCTAGCCATCTGAAACACACTTATTCCCACCACTCCAGTCACAGAATCAATCCATCTCATCGAAGGTCTTCCTCTCCTTCTCCACCCCTCCACTCTCTCAAACATGATGTCCCTCTCCAAGGACCAGTTCCTCCTTGCAACATGCCCATAGGATGTCAGACGAAGCTTCAGAATCCTTGTCTCGAAGGTGCATTCCGGCTTCAACTTCTCCAGGACAAACCTGTTTGTTCTCCTAGCAGTCCATGGTATATTCAACACTCTTCTCCAGCACCACAGCTCAAAGGCATCAATTCTCTTCTTTCTATCAACCCTATTCATTGTTCAACTCTCTGATGCATAGCATGTAATTGTGAAGATTATAGCCTGGATCAGGCGCACCTTAGTCTCCGGTCTGACACCATTGCTCTACTTACCTTACGTTGCTACTACTTACCTTAAAATTATGGTTGTTACTATATGTGCTGTCGAGCTGCCTGCAACTCACATAGGGTCTATGTATATCAGCTCTGAAGTCTACCCTATCCTGAGTCAGTCTCACTGACTCTGACACACCTACCCCCATTGCCCCAGGTACTGTATCAATTTTTCTCACATGGGATTCAATTCATCTCATCCTGCACTGTCCCTCCATCCTTTCAAGCATGATATCCTTTTCTCCACCCTTTCAAGCGTGATATTCTTCTCTAGGTCCCTCCTGGCCATGTGTCCATCGTATGTGAAATGGAGCTTCAAAATCCTTGCCTCCGAGGAGAAACTTGGCTTCACCCTCTCCAAGATTTACGTGTTTCTTCTCTATGCTCAATATTCTTTTCTAGCATCACAACTCAAAGGCATCAATTCTTCTTTTGTCATCCTTAGTCACTGTCTAATTCTCTGACACATAGGAAGTAATTGCAAAGACCATTGCCTGAATCAGGTGCATCTTAGTCTCTAGACTGATATCTTTTCTTCTCAGTACTCTGGAGAGTTCCCTGATTAAAAGTTTTCCCAGCAAAATTTGCCTTTTGATTTCCTGATTGCTGGTACCAAGAGTGTTGACTGAGGAGCTGAGCAAGCTATAATTATTAACAACCTCAATCTTCTCCATCGATCATGGTGCTGTCAATTGGTGCAGTAGTGAGAATCTTTTTTTTTTTATGTTGAGCTTCAAACTATATTGAAGACTATGTTGTTATTGTCTTCAAGTCGAGTACAACTCATAGCAACCCTATGAACAAAAAGGCCTGAAGCCCTTCTACAACTATCAGTGTTTATCAAAGTTCATAGAGTTTTTATTGAAGACTATAGTCCTTGACTTTCTGCAGCAAGCATGTCAAGCCCTCCTTAGTTTCAGCAAGAAAAATTGTGTAATTTGCATATCATAGGTTGTTGATAAGTCTTCCTCCAATCCAGATGTCACATTGCTCATAAAGCCCCACCTCTCAAATGATCTGATTCCTCATGCTATTTCACTTAAACCTCACATCAGTCCTGTATAAAAAATATTACTGTTTGCTCTGCTAGGAAAGAGAATAAACTCTTGAGCATGCACCTCTTGTCACTTGAAGTACAATAATTTCCCATTATACTGACAAAACGTTTGTAACTCATCTCATAGAAGGACCACATATTAAAAAAAATACCCCAAACAAACCAATTAAAGAAAATAAAAAGAGCTTTAAAAAAAGACAAGTCAACAAGAGTCTATTTAAGATGGGAGAAAGGAAGCACAGGAGAAAATGTTAACTAGTCATCTATGTCTAAGGAGCTTTAGTGGCAAAATCCATAGTATGAAGCTGTGGTATAGTGGGTCTATTGTTCAAAATGGCTTTCCTAAGCATCTGTTGACTTTGCCACATAGCAGAGAAAGAACAAGTAAAGAGATGTGTTAGTCTACTCAGGAGGAAAATTTTGGTTAATTTTGTCATTCCCTCAGCTTTAAATTGAGCACGTTTTGCGGTAGAAATTGAGGAATGTCACTATAAGCAAAGAAGCAACAGCGAATGCAGTGCATGTCCTTTGGAGGTAGAGGTTCCTATGCCAATCAGACTCGGACCTACAGGAGAGCAGTGGCAGTCACAGCAAAGAACCAGAGCTAACAGGCTTCATCCAAGCTTGCTGGAGGACTAGGCAGAAAGCACTGTAATTGGCAGGAGCTGTCTAACACTAGCCTAAAGTCACAAGGCTGAGGGGCCAGCAAGCAAGCTTCAGAAGCGGTTCTGTCTGAGAAACTATATCCTATTAACTTCCCTAATAAACCTCATAATCGTGAGAACAGTTTTGGGGGTTCTAGGTAATGAATTTCAGACCCAGAATACCAGCAGCTTTGCTGTTAGAATTAGTAGAAAGTGTTGTAGGAGCACTGGCACATCTGACCTTCTGGGAATTATTTTAGTACTGTGGATGCTATTGATGCGGATAGTTCCTCATCAATTAAGTTAGTTGAGGCTACTCAGCTGTCTCCATGCTGCCCACACTCTTTGTACAGTAGCACTGCTAATCAAAAGGCTGCACAACTCTGATGGCTCAAAGACACCACCAATTCCTAGGGATAAAAAGGGACATCTCTTCCTCACATGACACAGAAAGCAGATGGAGGGCCACTAGGAGTAGGAAGCAACTTGATGGCACTGAGTTGGAATCCCTGATTGGAAATATTTATAAGAACATCCTGAGCTTACAAATTATAAATCTCAGTCACTGCTTATGATCTTTAATTACTAAGAAAGGAAGCAAAGGGAGACTGTGCTTGAGCAAGTATCTTAGTTTTATAAAATACTTATGTAATGGATTCCTTACATCAGCAGAGAACTGCCAGAAGTCCAGGCTGGGTTTAGAAGGGGTCATGGTAGTAGGGATATTGTAGCTAATGTTAGATGGATCTTAGCTGAAAGCAAGGAATACCAGAAGAATGTCTATCTGTGTTTCACTGACTATGCAAAGGCGTTTGACCGTGTGGATCATAACAAACTGTGGCTGACTGTGAGAAGAATGGGAATCCCAGAACACCTGATCGTTGTAATGCGAAATCTATACTTAGACCAGGAGGCAGTCGTCAGAACAGAGCAAGGAAACACTGCATGGTTCAAAATTGAGAAAGGTGTATGCCAGGGATGTGTCCTATCTCCATACCTTTTCAACGTGTATGCAGAACAGATTATCCGAGAGACTGGGCTCTATGAGAAGTATGGCATCAGGACTGGTGGAAGATCTATCAACAATCTGCGATATGCAGATGACACAACCCTGCTTGCTGAAACTGAGGAGGACCTGAAGCGCTTGCTGCAGAGGGTCAAGGACTGCAGCCTTCAGTATGGATTGAGGTTCAATGTTAAGAAGGTAAAGATTCTCACCACTGGACCAATTGGCAGCATCAGGATGGATGGTGAAGAGATTGAGATTGTTAACAACTTTAACCTACTTGGCTCCACAGTCAATATTCTTGGCACCAGTAGCCAGGAAATAAAAAAACGTATTGCGATGATAAAGTCTGCTGTTAGGGACCTCTTCAGGGTACTGAAGAGCAATGGTGCCACTCTGGAGACTAAGGTGCGTCTGATACAGGCTATGGTCTTTGCAATCATTTGTTACGCATCAGAGAATTGGACAATGACTAGGAAGAAGGAGGATTGATGCCTTTGAGCTGTGGTGCTGGAGAAGAGTATTGAACGTGGGCTGCCAAGAAAACAAACAGTTTCATCCTGGAGAGGGTTAAACCAGGCTGCACCTTGGAGGTAAGGATTCTGGTGCTTCATCTGACATACTTTGGACATGTTGTAAGGAGGGACAGACAGGTCCTTGGAGCAAGCCATCATGCTTGGGAGGGTGGAGGGACCATGCAAGAGGGGAAGACCCTCTATGAGATGGATTGATTCAGTGACTGGGGTAATCGGGATGGTGTGTCAGAGGCAGTGTGATTGGCACAGGATAGAGCAGGGTTTAGGGCTGTTGTACATAGGATCGCTATGAGTCACAAGCGATTTGATGGCATATAACAACAACAACATAACAAAGGGTTCTAGAAATTAAAGATGTGTAACTTTAATTCATATGGACAAAACTGAGAATAGATTATTTGAAAGAAATAGTGTATGAGCACCAAGAAGAGAGATGTAATTCCCAAGACCCTAGAAAACATGGGAAATAAGACATATCTAAACAATCCATGCCCTACTGAAAAAGCTAATTTGGTTTACATATTAGGAAAAAAACACAAATACTGCCTGTCTGGATGTCAGTAAGGCTCCATGGGGCTTCTACTAAAAAAATATATATATATAAAATCAAACTGCATTAAAGATTAGAACACCCACCCTTATCTAAAAGAGGAGACCCTGCTGGTAGCTTGTCATACTATCCTTAATCCTTTCCCACATTTTAATTAGTGACTTAGATAGGTACAAATATTAAAAGTTTATTTCATTTGTGGATGACAATATGATGGGATCACACTGATGCTTGAGTAAGAATCCAAAGGGTGCTCGAAAAACATGACAAAGATGACATTTAACAGAGTAAGTAAAATACAACTGGAGGAGTACTGCTGAATTGGGGGGCAGAGAACGAATACTGGATGAATGATTTCCACCAAATGCATGCAGAAACAGGAGGCACCAGTGTCATGATTTTGCTCCACTAGAAATTTAACGGTACTCTCTGCCAGTCAATAGATTTTAAAACCTTAAAGGTGATTAGGCAGAAAAACTCCGAAGCTCAGTACAGGAGCGCCAAGGTTCACCTGGGATTTAAGATGAGTCAAGTGTATGGGGGTCGCGTACAGAGGACACTAAACCATGTTCATGAAAGATCTGGGTCGACCATGGGGTTTACAAAAATGAAAACTGCGGGGGAAGGGAAGGCAAAGGTGGACGCCCCCCATTCAGGTAAGCTTCACCTCTCCAGACAGCGCAGCACAGCCAGGCTCGTTTGGTCGAGGGGTGAACGGCACGTGCGCGGACCCTTGTCCTGGAGCTGGGTCTTGCTGGGATTTGAGGACGTCAGCCACCCTTCCCTCAGCTTTGGGGCGTTGCACCCACCGGGAGAAAGGAGCGTCCAGTCGGAAGACTTACCTCCTGGTCCTCGTTGGCACTCATCGCGTTGACTAGTGGGGTTTCTCAGGAGGACGACGTCTAATACCTCTGACCTGGAGCAAGGGCAGTGACCCCAGAGATCCTGACGTGACTGTAGCTGTGGACACACACTACTCACAACCGCAGGCGCGAATCAAACGCGTCCCCGGCCCGCAGGCAGCTCGAAGCCGCCGGCCGGGGTCCGCGAGGCCGCGAACAGAAGCAGCCACCAGAGGGGCCGTCCAGTGTTTGACGGAGGTGGCGGGGCGGTAACAGCAGAAGCTCCGCCTCCCCCGCCTCGCTTCTCCTATTGGCTCCTTCTCTCCCCGCCCCAACCTTTCTCCTCTGGGGAATTAAAAGCCTTCTTTACGTTTGGTGAAGCAGCGTATGTTTTAAAGACAACGATTGGTGCAGAGCGTTGTCACTCAGGCTCAAAAAGTGCTTCCGGTGTCAGCGGGGGTGGGGACAGGGAAGTCTCCCCTGAATCTGAGGCCAGGGCAATAGAAATTATCCCGGGTGTTTTGTGACACTGTTGTTGCCTGGTCCCCTTCCTCTTTTCCTGGTTGTGGACAGTCACGACTGCAGTACAGCCCGGGTGTGCAGCCTGGGCGAGCCCAGGCTTGGAGACCTACGGGGCAAGGTGAGGGCACTGCGGGGGAGAGGGCTCCTCTTAACAATGCATTTTTCTGGGCCGTGCTTTTTTCTGGGGTGTGCAGTGCTAGCTTTTCTTTTCCAGCCCCAGCTACAGGACTCAACTATTTCAAGGGCCTCTGAGGTTACATTCGAGTCCACCAAGCAGAAAGAAAGATGAGCAATCTCCTTCCGTGCAATTCACAGCCTCTGCAAACCTCTGAAGGGTCAGCTATGAGTCAGTTCCTACAGCCCCTAACAACAGCCCCACCCAGCTTAAAGGAGGGAGGGAAAGAGGAATGGTTCTTTACTTTTCTTCATTGTAGCTACCAAGGCAAAATATTGTGATCATCCTGTTATTGTTGGGTCTTCGCACTGGACGTAAGACCAGGGACTCAAGGGAAGGACCAGGGAAAGAAAGGAAGCTGAAGAAGCTTTATTAAGGGGTCTCCCAGGCGGAATTCCTTGTTCTGCAGGGAGAGAAACAGACAGAGGGACAGACTAGGGAAATACAGCACCTTAAAGTTGATTAGGGCAGGGATTTTATAATAAGGGTCTCCTAGAGAGGGAAGGGAGGGCACTCCATGGCAGTTGAGGCTGTTCACTCCCTTTGTTGACATGTTTATATTCCTTGAATCCTTTGATCTCTCAGACCTTGGTCCTGGCCTGACAGTTACTTCTCAGCATCTTTTCACAATCCTAGCACCTGGCTGTCCACTCTGTTTTGGTTGTTTTCCAGTGGGACATCTCAGAATTCTGACTACTAGCCTTGTTCCTACAACCTGTTCCTTACCTCCAAAGAGCACCCTGTTTGCGCTTTACTTCAAGACAGATTTATTTGTTCATTTTGTCCATGGGATATTCAGTTGTTGTGTACCATGGAGTTGGTACCCATAGTGGGTTTTCAGAGGCAGTTAATTGCACAGAAAGAGACTGTTCATCCTTCTGCGGAGCAGCTGTTAGATTTGAACCATGTGCCTTCAGGATTGCAGAACAGCTTCTTACCACTAGGCCACTGGAGCTCGCTGTGAGTCCAAGGAACTAATTCTTCAGTTCGTTGTTCATTGCCCAATTTTTCATATGCATAAGAAGCAATTGAAAATAAAATGACTTGAATCAGGCACACTCTAGTCTTTAAACTGTTGCACTTTAAAGAGGTCTTTGGTAGAAAATTAGACCAATACAGCACTACCTATTTTGATTTCTTGACTGTTGTCTTGTAGTAACAATATTATGCCTGCATTAGTGGCTCGCAGAAAGAGTTCTTGGGAATAAATAAAGGTATTAAAATTAATTGTGAATGTGTTAACACATATATTTCAGGTTTTTTGTGAAGGCTTGAACATGAGCCCCACGCAGTGGGACTTTCCAGTGGAATTATGTTGTCGGCCAATGGCTTTTGTCACTCTTACTGGGCTGGATGTAGTTTATAATGCTGTGCATCGAGCTGTTTGGGATGCTTTCTGTGCCAATCGGAGAGCTGATCGAGTACCGATTTCTTTCAAGGTGCTTCCAGGTGACCATGAATATCCCAAGTGTAGATCCAAGGTAATAACATGATTGTCTGCATACTTGTGCTCGCTGGTATGTTTACATGTATACATGTGTATGCATACACATATCTGTGTTTTGCTTTTATTGTCTGTGCTGAAAAAACACTTGCATTTGCATGGTAGTGTTAGAATGGTACATAAAACAAGATGATAATGTATGCATTATAATGGTAATTTTTTTAAAACCGCAGAGCACTACTTAATAAAGCTTTCTATCCTGTGAGCCTACATTTTCTTCCTTTTTCTATTGATTCCCAAGCTGTTTTAATTCTATGTGTTTGTGTGTGTGAATGATTTCTAGATCTAACAAACTGCGTTTGATTCTTTTTTTCTAAGTGAAATTTTCATTTTGTACTGGTTTACTTACTTACAAAGCTTGTATACATTGTTTTTCTTCGTGTTTATGTGTTTGAGAATCATGAGTACCTAGCCCTAAAAGCTGTGCTGTATGTATCTGAAATTGAAGTAGTGACACCTCTGGCCCTTACATATTTTTTGTTTTATTCTTGTCAAGGAAGATAATACACTCTGCAAAACTAACCTTTTATCCGCTTCCCTTAATTCTCCAGTTTTGTATACTTTTAATTTCTTACACCCTGTTCTTTTCTGAGTTCTCTGTCCTTGACTTTCCCTGCCTGACAGAGACATTGCATCACAGTGAGTTGGAGAGGTCTGAGTCAGTATAGGCGATTTAGAAGTAATTTGAGAGATCAGCTGGATTCTGCAGAACCCAGGTGGATATCTGCTGCTTTCTCTTCCTGCTAAGTGGCCTGGTCCTTAGTGCTGACACTCTAGTGATTGCTGGTCTCTGTCCATATTTCAGACTTGCCTTACAGTTAGGGTTTTTGTGTTTTGTTTTGTTTTTTTACTTCAGCCACAGATAAGGTAAAATATTATCATAACCATTTGTTTTTGAAACCAACATAGTCATATTGGGGTTTGGATAATATTTTCTTTGAAAATACTAAAACATAAACTGAAAAGAGGGAGAACAGAAGTATTATTTACCTGGAAAAGGAGCTGATGTTACCATGCTGTTCGAGAGACTTAAGGTCATTAGAAACTCTTTGGCTTTAGTCATTCTCTTTAAATGGTCTTTACAGTTAAGATTCTACTTCTACCAACTACTAGTTCTAATTTAAGCTTGAATTCTTCATCATTAGAAAGGAGTTATATATGTGTATTAAGTGAGATAAATACAGGTTAAAGTGTCCCATGTTAGCTGCCATTTTTATCAAATAACTTTCTCTTTCTATCACTGTTTGTAGAGAACTTCATATGAGTGGTACATTCCTAAAGGGATCTTAAAGACTGGTTGGATGAATAAACAACTGAATCTGGTGCCAGCCCTTGTGGTTGTGTTCTATGAGCTGGACTGGGATGAGCCCCAGTGGAAAGAAAAGCAGTCTGAGTGCGCTACCCGAGTGGAAATAGTCAGGTATGATCTTCCCCATTTATCAGGATAACCATGTGAGTTTGCATGTATCTATTATTTGCTAATACTTACTGAAGGCTCCTGAGTGCTTTTGAGTCTGCAGTAATTACTTTGGAGATTGCTGACCTCAGTGAAACCTGTATTTCCTAATGGATAGCCGTTTTGTTAAGTGCCATCAAAGAGCTTTCCAGCTCACAGTGACCCTGTAAGCAATAGGAAAAGACATTAATTCTGAGCCATCTATTTTCACAGCTGCTGCTGTGCTTGAGCCTTTGGTCGCAGCCCCTGTGTTAATCTACTTCCCGAGGGTCGACTTCTTGATTTTCAGTGACACTCTACCAAGCGGATGGCCCTTTTCTGATAACATATGTAAAGTATGTGAACAAAGTCATACTATCCACACTTCTAAGGAACATTCTGGATGCACATCTTCAAAGACTGGTTTGTTGTTTTGGTACCCCACTCAATATTCTTTGCCAGTGCAACATTTCAAAGGCATTTTAGTTCTTCTTTAACCTTGTTTATTCTTTGTTCAGTTTTCACATGCATACAAGGTGACTGAAATTTCCATATCTTGGGTTAAGCACATTTTAGTTCTCAAAAGTGATATCCTTTCTGAAATCTCATAACCCTACTAATTGAAATGTATGCCTGTCCATAAAGTGATATGTCACTCACTATGTGTGGTTTAACTGGGAGTTCTCAGAACGAATATATTGATATATAAACTCTGCAGTAAACTGTGTTATTGTTATGTGCCGTCAAGTCGCCTGAAACTCATAGCGACACTGTGTACAACAGCCCTTACCCTGCCCTATCCTGTGCCACTCTTTTTGTCTCTCATACACCTACCCCCCATTACCCCAGTCACTGAATCAATCCATCTAATCTACGATCTTCCTCTCCTGCACTGTCCCTCCACCCTCCCAAGCATGACGTTCCTCTCCAAGGACTGGTCCTTTTTGGCAGCATGTCCACAGTATATCAGATGAAGCTTCAGAATCCTTGCCTCCAAGGAGCAGCCTGTCTTCCCTCTCTCCAGGGCGAACTTGTTTGTTCTTCTAGAAGTCCATGGTATGCTCAATGCTTTTCTCTAGCACCACAGCTCAAAGGCATCAATTCTCCTTCTATCCTCCCTAGTCATTGTCCAGCTTTCTGATGCAAAGCAAGTAATTACAAAGTTCATAACCTGTATCAGGTGTACTTTAGTCTCCAGACTGACATAGTTGCTCTTTAGTACTGTAGAGAGGTCTCTGACAGCAGACTTTTCCCAGTGCACTTCACCTTTTAATTTCCTGGCTGCTGATACCAAGAGTGTTGATTGTAAAGCCACCACACTGAAGCTGTTGACAATTTCAGTCTCTTCACCATCCATCATGATGCTGCCAATCAGCCCAGTGGTGAGAATCTTTGTTTTCTTGATTTTGAGCTTCAATCCATATTAAAGGCTGCAGTAAACTATACCTTTAATTTAAAAAAAAGTGACACCCTTTCTCTTTAGTACTAGCAGATCTGCCTTGTGCACATTTATTAGATAGGTTGCAAAATATTCACTATATACAATCTAAGTTACATGAAGACATTTGGAAGACAAATTCTTTTGGATTTCAAATGCTCTTTTTTTTTGTTTACGTTTAGTAGGTTTCTGTTTAGTCATATACATTTGTAAAATTTTGAATAACATTTTTCTGTATTTGTGTGCTGAAAATGCACCAATTCAATAAATTGAACAGATATAATTTAATGATATTGATTACATTCTTCTTGATGTACAACTATTCTTTTTCAAATTATTCTGCTGTCATTAATATAAATCTACTGCATTGTAGAAATAAATAAGCAAAAAATAAGGCCCTAGGAATTGATGTAATACTAATTGACATATTTCAACAAATAGATAACGGCCTTAAACATAACTCACCAGTCTATGCCAAGAGATTTGGAAGACCTGGTCAGTTGACTAGGAGAGATCCAGAATTATTCCCATTCCCAAGAAAAGTGATCCAACAGAATGTGGAAATTATCAAAGAATATTATTAATATCACATGCAAATAAAATCTTGATATTTTCCAGATTACCCAAAAATGACTAGAACAGTACATCAACAGAGAACAGCCAAAATTCAAGCTAGCTTTAGAAGAGATTGTAGCACCAAGAGTATCATTGCTCATCTCAGATGGATCTTGGCTGATAGCAGAGGAATGTCTTTTTGTGTTTCATTGACTATGACAACGCGTTTTACTGGATCATAACAAATTATGGCTAAGAGGAATGGGCATCCTGGAACACTTAACTGTGTTCATGCAAAACCTAGACCTAGACCAAAGAGCCTGTTGTTCAAATAGAGCAGGGGAATACTGCATTGCTTAAAATTAAGAAAGGTATGCATTAGGGCTATATTCTTTCTCCATACCTATTCAGTCTATTTGCTGAGCAAATCATTTAAGATTCTGGACTGTATAAGAGGAAGGATGTGCCATCAGGATTGGAGGAAGAATCAGTAACCATCTGTGTTGTGCAGATGACTCCACCTTACTTGCTGAAAGTGAAGAAAACTTGAAACACTTACTGCAGAAGATCAAAGACTACAACTTTCACTATGGGTTTCAACCTAAAGGAAATAAACAACATGAGGTGTATTACGAAGTGGACTGGGAAAGGGTGACGGAAAGGGGAGGGAGATAAAGGAAAATGTGCAACAATGAATGATTAAGTAAAAAAAAAAAGTAAAGAAAGAGAAAACAGAAAGGATAGAATCACACCTGACTTCAACAATGGGCTTGAGCAGGGCATCATTAGGATGGCATGGCATAGGGCACAATTTCAATCTGTTTTACATAGGATGTCAGTGAGTCATATTCAGCTTAGGTACCTAATATCAGTAGTGAGTTTTTGATTATTTAAATAAAATAATTAATATTGTTGTTATTTTTCTATTACAGACAGAGTTTACAAGGGAGAAACACAAAAGTTGCAGTGGTTCTGATTCAAAAGAAAACTCCTTTACCTCCAGGTACCAAAAAGTTAATTAAGTGATTCACTGACTTCGAATTCTTATTTCCTGGGACTATAATTTTTTATATTTAAGTCTTAGATACATTCCATTATAGAACTGAGAGTCTGTTAAATTTTCAAGTATCAAAAAAAAAAAAAGTGCCAGTAACTAGATGCTTTTGGTTAAAAAAAAAATTAAAAATGCTGAAGAGTTCAAATCTTAAAGCTATCTTTCTTGATTCCACTTAACTTCCTTATATAGATATATATCAATTGATAGATAGTCTTTTAACTTTTTAAAAAGTGAACTACCTGTCACCTTTTAAAAAATTACACTCCTTCTATAATATTTATCCTTAATCAGTTGAAAAATAAAATAGGATTTGTAATTTTCTGTAGGAAAATGTTTTCATCTCAAATACTTTTCTTTTACATTTCCAGATTCATACTCCAAAACAGTTTTTCATTTCTGTGTTAAAATTTACAGCAGCATCTAAAGGATTTATGATTTACTGCTTTAATTTTCAAGTTATTTTTAAAAAATAATTTTGTGGTGTACCTGTTGGCATTATTTCACCTACTGTTCTCTCTCAGGAAGTTCCACAGTTTGTTTCTAACAAGCATGCACTCTAATTTTTAAGACTTTCCCCACAGTCCTTTGAAGGACTCAAATACAGAATAAAGCCTATAGAACATGCTCCTAGTTAAAGGAAATATTTCTGCTTGACCTTTCACCTCCAAGGACTTACTTAGTAGACTTGTTGACATATTGATAAGTGATTGGATTTTTTTTTTTAATTGACATCTTAATAAAAGTTTCTAGAGAACTTGGATTTCCATTCATTTTTACACATTTTCCTTCCTGTCCCCCCTCCCCTCCCCTTTTGCTTTTTTCTTTGGAAAAAAAATTATTTCATAGTTAGTGTTCCCCCCGCCCCCCAGTCCACTTTACTATGCAGCTCTTATTCTGGACTCTTGTCATATCAATAATACCTAATCATGTATTCCTTTCATACAGTTCTCTCCCTCATCTGTTTCAATGCCATGTAC